GTAAATCTTGTAAAGTTTATTTTCCTTATAGCATCTGTGTTTTATAATGGTGCTTTTAATTTGTTTGTTCTTTGTCTGCTGGGATTTCTTTTGTCCGGCATTTTCAGGCTTCCCCCCCCCTTTTTTTTTCTTTTAGTGGAAGTGAGTACATGAATGATGACTGGCTTGGGAATATACCCTTGCAAGGCTGACATGACAGGCTGTTCCCGATGTGTAACAACAAAGCCCATTGTTGTTTTCTTTCTTCACTTTTATCCTCAACTTCATCCATTTTTCCTATGAGTATTTGTGGAAAAAAATGTCTGGAAAAATGTGATTCAGATGGTATGTTGGTGTTTTTATTACAGACTTTCAGCCAACAGGTGCCAAGACAGAACTAATTGATTATATTTTTCATGTCTCAGTAGGCAAAGGTTATCCAATGAGACATTGTACTTTTAGAGTAAACTTTTGCTATCGGAATACCAAAGGCAGAACATCCTCTGTTGTTTGCAGAGTATGTGCTTGTACTCTGCCTGCGAGTCCCTTAGTAAAATTAATAAATAAGATTCACCAAGAGCATGAGTTGAGATATGAGATAATTTTGTGCAATAGAAGTCTAAAATGCTGATTTAGGATTAATTGTAGGAGTCTTATGATTTGAATTTGGCTATGATCAGGAACTTGGACCTTTATGCATACTTTCTGTTCTTCTTGAATCTGTAATATTTGAGTGGAAATAATGCAAGAGTCTCCTTTTGTGGGGCATCTTGAGCTGTGGCCCAAGCTTAAGAGGAAATACAGAAGTGTAGGCAAATGCAAGGAAGTATATAGGAAAATGAACCTTAAGCTAAACTGGCTTTAATATATGTCATGCACAGCTTGGAAATGCACACTTGACCAAAAGGATTTGCCTTGCACTGTGTCCTGAAGGTTGTTAAGCTCAAACTTGGGCCAGTCACCAAGGTAAAATGCCTCAGTGGTAGGGGTGCTCTACAGAAAATGTTCTGACTGTAATTCTTGAGAGGGCACGTGTGCTGTGAAATTGTGGTGGTGGTGATGATGGTGATTAATTTTCTCTAAATTAATTGCAGCAGAAAGCATTCCTTGAGTAGTCAGTACAGTGTGACTTATGTGTAACATGAAGTATAAAACCAAGTCAGTATTTAAGGTTAATTTGTCAATGCTAAGTGAAGTTACTCTGTTGTAGCTGTAATTCTGGGGTTTTATTTTTACTCATATGTGTATTTCCCTACTAGTGTTAATATATACTGTCCACATGTGGCAAGGTAATTTGACTGAGTACAGGATTCCTCAGTATGAAACATGTGTTTGATGTTTCTGGAGGACTTAAACTTTGGCTTATTTGTTGCGTGTCCATTGACAGTGAATCAACAACTGCTTGAACTGTAGAAATAATGTTGATGCTTGACTGCATTCTTTGTGCTCTTTTGGCCTGATCCTACAATCTTTTGCACACAGAACTGCCATTTAGTGCAAGAGGAGCTTCACACTTCTAAGGGCCGGAGGAACGGAGGGTGGCTTCTTACTGAATATCTGGAGGGCTGCAATAAATTGTGAAGTTTTCTGAAACACTTACTAAATGTAATGTTTGACGCCATTTCATTCCAGTAGTGAATCTAGAATATAACTTTTCCCGAATCCTTAGAAAAGAAGCAATGCTAGTCATACGGTGCATTTCCTGTATCCCCAAGGCTAAGAAGTTAAGACGACAAGGTTTTATCTTTCTGATAGGTCTGAGGTAACATTTTCCATACAACGAAGATATGACTGTATAGAACATTTACATCATAAAAATAGCTAAAAATAATTCAGTGAAAATGAAAGCAAATATTTCTAGTCTTTTTTTTATAAACAGTGTTTTCTTTAACCTGGTTCATCTGCAACATCTCAACAATATTATAGTCAGATTTTCAAGAAAAACTACCATCAGAAATAATTTCTCCTTTTTGTAGCATTTCAACTTTCAATTTTTGACTTGTATCGTGGTTACTTGCATTTATTTTAAATAACTAATATTATTGTAGAAATTATAGATTGGTAGACAGTAGTCATAAGGATATTTCCATTTTTTACATTTGTCATACCTGCAATTTTTATTACATTTAGGCTGTGAAGTGCTGAGCCTTAGGAGCTCTATTTTAGTTAAATATTTTTGAAGTTTGTATATGTACACATTAAGCTGCTATTTTAAAATGGAGATGCTTGAACTCGGAATGTTATTTCCTCGAGGAATTATGGACCTCCTCTCTCTGAGGAATGGAAGCAGTTTACAAAGGAAATTTTACATAGGTACAGTTTTAGCAGCTGGGCAGCGCTTGTGAGAAAGATAAAATTCTGTTTCTTTTCCTGTAGTTATGTATGCTTTTCATTTGAAAACGGTCATAATATGTTTCCTTCTGCACAGAGTAGATGCCATAGCTTGTGTTAGTATCTCACTGTACCACAAGTTTAAATGCTCGCTTTGATGAAAGTGTAAATATCACATATGACAGTGCTCTGGAGAAAACAAACTGTGTAGGGTTTTTTTTTCAAGACCATATAAAGAGTCAAAAAATCACATTCTCAAGAACAAACTTCTCATAACTGAATTGTTCATCTTGATTGAAGACAAGGAGTTCTGCAAAGTGCTTAGAACCTATTTTAGCCAGAAATTAGGTTAAGATGTGTAAGAGGAATGCATCTTTATAGCTTTATAGTTTTCTAATGCTCTAGGATGAAAAAAAGAAAAAGAATTTGTTGTAGCATATCTGAAAGAAACTTAAAAAAAGAAAAAGAAAAAACAGAGAATCTTAGATTTTGTTTGCTTTCACCGTCTCTTTAATACATTTTCTGTTCTTATACACTTTAATATTTTTCTTTGTTTTCTTTTCTCATATGTGAGCCTAAAAATATATATGATTTTATGACTGTATTAATATTTTTCAAAACTCTGAATGATGACTTAATCCTGTAGACTTTTGATTATCCTTAACTGCCTTGGGATTCTTCAACCTGAGTAGAAATAAACTCATCCTTTTGTGGGAAGGACATCTGTAAATATCTCATCTTTCTGCACGCAAATATTCCATTGAATCAACTGAAAGTTTTGCATATGGAAAACTACGTGATGTTGAGAGTGGAGTAATTAAATAAGCCTTGAGAGAGAGAGAAACCTGGTACAAACAGTCATTTGGTTCAGTAGTTCCTAGTTAATCATTATATTCCTAATAAGTAAAAGAAAACGAATTATAGACGTTTGGAACCCCTTCTGTAGCTATTGCTCCCTGTTTGCTGGGTAGCATGCAGTTGCTTGTGGTGAATGTAGGAGAGCGAAACATTTTCAAAGAGGCTTTGATTACATACAACAGTAACTAATTAGACAATAACGTAGAAAACTATTTACGCTCCTCTGTACAAGAACCAAGGATGCGTTATGAAACTAATCTTAAATTAATTGCATCTCAGTCTTAATTTTAAAAAATGAAGTTTTTTTTCCTTCCTGTTTCTTGTTGTTCCAAGTTGGTGCAGGAAAATTGCTATTAATAGAATCTGTTCTCCGAGACTTCAATAGGCTTGTTATTCATTAAAGCCTTGCTATTTCTCTTGAAACGTATTGACCAGTGTTCAAGCCAGATACTTAACACAAAATACACTTTGTAATTTCATCATTTTTGTTATTGTGCTTTTCTAAGATGCAGAGGTCTATGTACTTTGCAGAAAAACAAATAAAAACCCAAAGCTTACAGTTATATAGCATTAAAAGAAGGGTAAAGGAAGCATTGAGTGTCTTTAAGATGATGAGACATTCATTAAGATTTTTCTGCCTTCCTTTTCCTATTTTCAATCCATCTGAAGTACCATTAAAGCTTTTCAGCCAGCTTCCTGTGAGAAACCCTTTTCTGTGCTGTTTTTCTTCCTTGAGAAAAGGTGGCTGCTCTTCAGTCAGATTGTATGGATTTGGCCTGGGATTTGTATAATATCTGTGCAGAATGCATCAGTTGTTTAGGAACCTAATTCCCAATATGGCTCCCTTTTGATTAAGAACAAAGCCAGCGTTTCACAGCATTATAGGAACACAGAAAAACAAGTTAATGATCTAAACCTTTTAATTCATGGTTGCTTGTCTATTTAAAGTACTTTTGATTCTGTTATAAACAGACTGGCCCCTTTTTTTGTTTAACTCCTTTCTTTTGGTTTCTTCACATTTCTTTCTCTACTGTCCATGAAATTTGTAGCTAGTTTCCTTTTCTAACGGAAGAATGAAAGGCTGTGACTACAGAATGATACAGAGAGTAAGAAAAAGCATATCTAAACTGGGTGTATATTCAGCACAGACCTCTTTGAAACAAGCTGAATTTAGTGTTGTTAGGATTTTTTTTGTTATGTTTTCCCCTTCCTTCTTTTGAATACCTGTATGTTGTTTGTTTTATTCCTCTTTTTTTTAAATATAAATGTTGTTACTTTTCAATATTTTCTTGATTTTTAAATATGTTTTGGATTGACTTTATTCTGTATAGTTACTTGTGGTATTTTCCTCCTTTCTTAGTCCAGCAGATTACTATTATGTGTGCCTTTATCCATAGAGACAACAGGAGCGACCTTTTCAGGACTTTCAATTATGAGCACAGTATGTGGTAGTTCTCTTCCAGGATATATGGTTTTTGATAGAGAATTTGAGTCTAGGATTTGTTTTTTGGACTGAACTCTAAATTTTTTGATGAACAGAACTCTTGGTCAAATGACAGCAGCATAAATAACTCCCTTTCCCTGGAGGGGAACCTTAATGCCTATACGTAAGTGTATGTGTGTGTATCTGCTTCTGTTGGTTTTATATACATATATGTGTGTGTGTATATGTATGTATATATAAAATTCTTTTTTTTCTTAACCTGAATTCAAGATGACTCTTTTGGTTTTGTTTATATTTACAATAGGAGCTCATTAGTCCTTTTCATTAGAAATGATAAATGGAGAAGAAATTCCAGTAATACATTTCATTGCATCTTTATCCCATCAAGGTAAATTGAACAGCCAAGACACTTACAATAACTTCACGAACAATAATCCTGGGAACCCTCGACTCCTGCCTCTTCCAAGTTTGACTGTGGTGTTGCCTCTTGCTCAAATCAAACAGCCAATGACATTAGGGACCATCACCAAACGCACAGGGTAAGTGTATCTGCACAAACCTTTCTTAACTTCGTTGTTTATGATTTACAAAGAAATAATTTGTGTTACTAGTGATACTTAGATTTTTCATTCTTTTATTCTAGTATATGTGATTTAATGGCAACAGAATAGATAGGAAAAAAGGTGGTGGTGGGAGGAACTAGCAAAGAAAATTAGCATCAGATAAGCAAGCAAAAGCTGAAAAACAGATCTGTCGAAGAATTCAGGAGTGTTCGTTTGGATGGGTCATTTTCTTGCAATCTACTGTATGGGAAATACCGTACACTGACATCAGAAGTTTTACACCACAAATTGGTATGATGCATAAGCAGACCTGTATTCAGTCAGAATAACTTATGAAGTGATTTTAACTTAAGGAAAGAAAAAAAAGGTGTTTATTTTGATTTCCAGACATTTCAACCAGAGATGGATTTTGACAATGACAAATAGAAAGAGAGTAAGCCAGGATGAATGTAAAGAGGAAACTTAATCTCATTGTTTTCTTGACATTATTTTTCCTTTTAAGTGACTATTCTGTACCGTGATATTCACTCGTGGACTTTCACTGCAGAGCCGGCGGTGCTTTCATACTCTTCAGTGTGCTATGTGTAAAGCGCTTCAAAATATTGGTTGTGAAAAGCTCTACTAAACATATATACTTTATAATTACTCGGAAGATTTTTGGGAGTTTTATAAACTGTAAAATTTTTAAGTTGATTGATACTTTTTCAACAGTTGATATTTTTGTCTTGCTAATCTCAAATCTTCAGTTTTTGCAATTCATAGAGAAAACTGTTTTTTTTTCCCCGTTTTGTTAGAGTACAAAACCTTGAATAGTTTCTTGTGGAAATTTAGAAGTCTGATTCATTCATTGTGTTATGGACTGATGTTTTTGTATTCACAAGTAAAATAGATCATTTGACCTGTGGTTGGACAAAAGAGTTGAGATTGCTACAGATTCATAACTTTGTCCTGGACTTTAGCACACGGAGTAGGCAGTGTCTTCCTTGCTTCAGTGCTTTCTTGATTAAACACCAATAGTTAGGTGAATTTTACCTTATATTTTCTGGCCCAGGAGTTATTTTTCAGGAAGGAACTTGAGTTTATTCCCTCTCTTCCTAATTATCCCATATTCTGCAATTAAGCGTTTAGGAGACTGTAAAATTTATTCTTTATTGTTTGTTTAGCAGTGTAAGTATGCATGATGGGATTCTAAAGCTTACATATGTATATATGTATTATCTATATGTATATGTTTATCTAACAATCCGGTCCTGTTCTTGCTGCTGTAAACAGGAATTTCACTGGGCTTGTAGAACCAATTTCTGAACTAAGAACATGTAGTTGTCCTAAGCGCAGAGACCATCCTCCCAAACTTCAAAGATAATTGTAAATGGGACTTATGAAACAGCAGAGAAACAGGACAAAAGTTATACTGTAGTTTACTTTTTTTCATGCATGCATTTCAAGGGCTTATTTTTAATAGCTTTTTTGCACTTACAATTTAATCACAGGCTAGGGAAGTGGGTTGTGTTAGTAGTAGAACAGGTATGATCTTGGATGAGGACAGGAAGGGAGCTAAGATTAGAAAAAGGTTGGTGTGCGTAGAAATAAGCAGAAAGATACAATTTCTGAAAGAGGGAAAATACCAAAAGGTATCTTGAAGCGTAGAGAATGCAACAGTCAGAAGAACAGAAATGCAATTCTGAGTTGAGTTGGCAGAGTACTAAAATTGGAAGAGATTATTAGAACTAGAGAGCAAGAGACATAGGTGAAAAGGCAGTTGAGGGCCTGCAGGAAGGAAAGTAGCATAATAGGAGAAGTGATGAGGAAGATGATAAAAGTAAATAAATAAATAAATAAAATAATCACCAATTTTTTGAGTTGCTTGGTTACAATAGTAATTAACACTGCTGCCTTTATGAAAGCTATTTCTTTAGAGAAAATACTGTGGTGATACCACCACATTTCTAAAACTATTTTAAATGCAATAAGTAATATTTTATATTTAACATTTTACTCATATACCTTAAATTTATTCAGATGGTGTTTTTATTCATAGTTTTCATTAACTAAACTTTACCCTGTACAATCTGTCCTTGTGCTATTATTTTGTGTAACTTTTAAATTGCTTAAATTCAAAATATTCAGCAAGGCTTACATAAAACAACGCACACGCACACACACCCCCAGTCCTTAAGTATACCCTGCTCTGTAAATAGAGTTTTCATGAATGAAGATCATAATTTTCAGCAAAGCCTGTGTGATGTGTAACGCTAAGCTGATAGCTCCCTTCACTTGTTCTGCATCCAAAATACTTGATGAAAGTACACAAAATTAACATGAAAAGCTGTATTTATAAAGCAGGGATTTAAGAGGAATGCCTAGGATCCTGGAAGCCTGGCATGCCTAAAATGACCAAATTGAGACAGCAGCCTTAACTTAAACCTCCAGGGGGCAAAGCGTGTGTTTAACATACTTAACATCTGCCCTCATATTTCTAGAAACACATAGCAATGTAAGTCTGTACAGTGTAATATTTAGACAGGACAGGGACCATCTGCCTCACTCGGCGAAGTGTAGGAGGCATGTATTGCTGCAAATGGCAACAGACAGATGTATTTACACCTACATGGTCAGCACCTTTAAGCACTGCTCCGAGGAAACAAGCCTCCTCTTTGGAAGCAGCTGCTTAACCTTGCGACTGTGCAGTGATCAGAAGGGGAGAACTTGCTATCGGTTGGATTTTACAACCGCTATTCAGTGACACTCAAACCAGACTCTCTTTCTGTTGTTATTTTTAAAGAATGATAACTGTAATTTGTTACTGTACAATTCTGAAAGTAAAAAAACTAAAACAATATTGTATAGTTAGCAGTTTTGTATTTGCTTTTAGTGTCTGAAAGCTGGCTTTAAAACTAGAGTTCTTAACTACATTTTACAGTTTTCATTAAGCAAGAAGATGCTTTTTATTCTGCTTAAATCTAAGAAAAAAAATATTTTTTGCATAAAAGGATTGATCAGTGCTCTTAACTGTTATCTATCCGAAGCTGAGTGCAAAGCCTGTCATTTTACTTGACAGGCAGAAAAATAGTAAAGTTTTTAAAATGTGCACGGTAGCCCTACGGGAATGAAGGACCGGGATGTGGAGTTGTGTCATTACTGCACTATTTATCACAGATGCTTTTACCTCGTGTCAGCTTGTGGATTTTGGAACGTTTTTGGATCAATCATTAAATTCTTCATTTTGAACTGAAGTTATAGTCCCATTAAGTTTCTCAGAGCATTACTTGCTTTCTTGCCCGTCACTGTTGTTTCCTTGTTCCTTGCCCTGTGTTTCTTCCCTTGCTTTTTCAAACCTCTCCACCTTCATGAAGCACTTCACTTTTGTTCTCGTATTTTGTCGTCTCACTGACTCACTTTCCTGCAGTTTGTACTGTCAGCACAATCTGAGGAACAGATAGGCTTTCCCAAAGGGGCTCTAACGGTAATGAGGGAGTAAGCATCTTATGTTTTAAAGATTAGGGAGATTTAATAGAGTAAAAGAACTAGTTTTGATAGGTCTTTGTACATCTGTGCCTCAGTTTCCCTCTCAACATTTTAACAGTAATGCTGACTTTCTTCTCAAGTCTAATGAATGGGTTAATTCATTGCTCATGTACAAAGAGCTTATAGATTTTAAAGGGGAGAACTGTATCATCCATCTCATGCTTATCTGTAAAAGAGCGTATTAGAATATGTTAGAAGACAGCTTTGTGCTTTGCAGAAGCTTTTCTAACCATGCCTTGTGTTTATGGAGTGAGTTTCCAATTGGAAAGAATGTGGGAACATACATGGACTGTAATAGCAAGGAGGAGAGAAATAGAAGATAAAATAATTGCTAAAGAAGATAAAGTAATTGCTAAAACAAAAAACTCTCATAAAAGTTGGCTTCTCTGATAGTGACGTTTATTTTAACTTCTCTAGGGATGGTCATTGTATTTGTATCATACTTCATTTCCAAATTCATTATAGCTGCAGTGAAACAGCTAATGTGATCTTCATTATTTGTATCTTGTCAAAACAGACACCCTCTATGCCCCATATAAGAACAGGAGCAAGCCTTGTTTTTTCCACCTGAAAGATTTAGCTAGTAAGTTTGTTTTTTTTTTTTAAGTGAAACTCTATCCATTTGTCATTCAGTTCTCCATTTTTTTGTCTCCCATTCCACACTCACATAAGGAAATGGAAAAGTAGGTATATATAATCTCTGTTGAATCAGGATGAGATTTTATCATTTTAGTGTTTCTCATTGCTTGTATTAAACGTACTGAAAATCACTAATGTCAGTTTGATATATTTTGACTCAGAAGAGCTTAATTTATTCCAGGTTCTATTACTGAGGCAAGCAAAAATAAAGAAAGCAAAGTCTTGATGTCGTGATCCAATTAAGTAGGTAACAATAATGAAAAAATTGAGGAAAAAAAAAAAAACCAAAGCTAAATAGTTCAGAAAAATAGGTCAATTTGCTTGCATGTTAAAGTCAGATATTCTCTTTTAGGCATATTTCTCAAACATGTTTGTTATTATCTTAAGCTTTTATGCTAAATTCTGGTAATAAAGCAACTACCATAATGATTTATAATTGGTAAGAAATACAGTAATTTGCACTGCAGTAATCACTGCAGTGATTTTCAGAAGTCTTTTTTTTATGAAAAGATTCTCACTTTAGATTGCAACATGATAGCAATGAGGATTAGGGTAAGTGGATATTGCACAGTTTATTAGGCGCTTAAATAGTTGCATGTTTTTATTAAGCATCCTAACAAAATTAAAGAACGTAACAGCTTTGAATTTGAAAAAACTTGAGCTCAGATAACAAATTAAGTAAAAAAAAAAAAAAACCTCTTGCAATTTTGAATCATATCATCATTTAATCATTTTTCTTTGGAATTCCCTACTAGCTTATAAGTGGGGAGAACCTCAGTGAGTTTTTTTGCCTTGGCATTGCTGTGTTTCTGTCACCGAATGTAGCCATCTGGTGCTGTCTTTTCAAGGCTGGGTTATCTTGTGTGTTGTCTTTTTTTTAATTAGCATGCCATCCATATTATGTGAAGGAATTAGTAGAAAACAGTTGTGTACATAAAGATCACAGAAGAAGCTGTAAATTTTAAATAAATTATTTCTACTGAGCATAAAGAAAATGCTAAGTTTTCTCTCACACAGCTTTTTATTAAGACTATAACTTAGCCTTTGGAAATCTAATTGTATTTTCTTGGTGATACAGGAATTTGAATCTATGACAAAAAACCCGAAACAATCCCCCCTTTTAGAATGAATCCAAGTCATTTTGTAATTTAAAAGAAGTAATTTGTTAATTTAGAAGTATAATCATGTCAGCAGATTATGTTGTGCTAAAAAATAGACTGTGTTACCTTCTGAAATGTTCTAATGATCTTAAATAAGCGTCATTTGCCTGCTTTTTGCAGACAGAGAAACTGAGGCAGAGAGAAACAAATTACTTGCCCAGTGTCCAGGATTGTGTTTTAGAAATTTTTGGCCCCCAATCAGATTAGACCACTAGTTGATGACACTTCAAATTAATTCTAGGTAGTTTCTAGCTTTTAGCTTGTATTGACTATGGATTACGCAAAGTAATAATTTTTTCATTTAATATTTACAAGGTGCAGTATGGCTTTGCTAATTTTTTTTTTGAACCATTCAAATGGCCTTTGACTCAGGGACTGAATGTATTGACTACATAAGAGATCTGTTCTTGCAGTTTAATTGGGTCTTATCATTATTCAGCTATAATATATTATGTCTAGAAAAGCAGCCGGTTCTGCTGCAAGAGCTCTTTCTCCCAGAGCGGGAACCAAACATACATTTAAATAAAAGCAGTTAAAGGTTAGTCTGTTATATAGAGTTTGAAAGATTTTTAATTTAGTCTTTGACCTGTATTGCTAATATGAGGAGAAAAAAACAGGATTTTTTTTCTGCGAGATGTCATTTTTTTAATTGGATGTTTAAATCTTCAGATCTAGAAGAATACATGTCTTAATTTTTTGTGCCTTCACCTAAACGTTCTTTTAAGAGTATGTCTGTATTGGCTGATGTTGCACTCATGTCAGATTTAGTTCACAAAATTCCTTTTTATCATATTTTTAATTGTGTAGGCATATGACTGAGTGCATTATACATCTCTCTGCAATAGGCCTTCCCTTTTACTTGCTTGCCTGGAAGTATTTCACTTGTGTTTCAACTAGCCAGAATTTACTCCTGAGTCAGAGTATAGAAAGAGTAATGACACAATGGCATTTACAAAATCAATTATTCAGCAATTTTGTGGATAATGTTACAAGAAGCCATGAGCATGTGAGTAGCTCTAAATTTCAGATTTTATGCAAATGGGAATATAGCTGTGGCTTTTTCAAGGGTGATATAAACAACAAGGGAAAAATCTATGGAAAATGCAGTAAAATTACTACTGTATGATATCTCTGGAAACTATACACTGCGCTATATATATACTATACACTATATACTTGAACAAAAAAAATCATGCTTTGGATAAATTGAGTGGCCTAAAACATTAAGCCTAAATTTGCATTTAACATCAAATGCATTTGAAATAAGTTATAGTTCTCTTTTCAATTTTCCATGCTAACTTGTAAAGGGGGGGGGGGGGGGGGGAGAATGCTATGTCGTACAGTTGCTAAAGATTTTTAATTTAATAATGTATTTTTAACTTGGAAAAGGGTCGGGGAACTCTCCCTAAAAGACTCTCCTTGTGCCTGTAGCCCTGCTGGCCTAGGACTTTGAAAACTCTCGTAGTCAGACCTTCAGTGGTTTCATGGAAAACACACACTTATTTGTTGCTATTGATGGTAATTTACTTTGTGTGTTAATTTTGACTATAATATCTGTTTGAGGCTCTTACTGCTTTTGCCGCAGAATTGTCAGCAGATTGCAGGAAGGAGAAATAAACTGTGTCTAACCTCAAAATAAAAAGTCAAAACCTGCTCGCAACTGACGCGTTACTTTGGTCCCAGCGGTTAGTGCATGAGGAGCCTACCCTGCAAACGCGTGCCTCTGGGCTGGGTAGCTGCGTTGTCAGTGGGACTGAGACGTGAGCGGTTGTCACATCTGTGAGTGTCAGCATGCTTGTTACACTGGAGTTGTACATCTCTTTCAGGGCCCCATAAACAGTTATGAAAATTATTTTGTTTACCTTTTGCATAAATCTTAATAGCATGATGTACAGTGTACTTGTTGATAATTGAGTTTTCATCTAATTTTTTTGTGCATTTTTCCCCCTTACGTGAAGACCTTACCTGTTTGGAGCAGGATGTTTTTCTATAAAAGCTCCATGGTGAGTTCCCAGTTCAATCCCAGCATGCCTATAATTCATTTGCAATACTCACTGAAAATAACTGTGTTAAGACTTTTTAATTTTTTTGTTTGTTTGTTTACTGCATGGCTGATCCACAGGTGGAAGCATTGCATAATTTCACTTTTAAACTGTGGGTGTGTATTCACCATCAAGCATTGTGAAACCAATGTATTCACTTTTTTTTTTAATCTTTGAGAGGGCATATAATTTGTAAGTAACAGAGAAGTTGAAAAAATAAAATTATTTCCCAGTGGGCAAAAATAGGTGCAGTATCTTTCCAAAACAGGTCTCTGTTTTTTATATATAACGTCCCTTGTTGTAGCAGCTGAGAAAACGTCAATGATGGCCTTCTGGTAATTAAGCAGATAGCAATGAATAGACGGTATTGTAGTAGGAGAATGAAGTAAAGTACAGTAAAATAGCCACTACCAAAACAAAAAAAAGGCTTACAGTTCCTTTAAAATCAGTATATTTTAAAAAATAAGAGCTGTTGGTTTTAATATGTGAAATTGCAGCTTATCACAAAAATATAGACAGAATAATGACAGTCTTACAAAGTTTCTCTGTGTTGGAGTTTGGTTTAATATTCATACAGCGCTACATAATCTCCTGGTCACCTTTTTATAATGATGTGATGGTTAGGTGGTTAAAGATTTAGGCAAGAAGAATGTCAGACGTTTGAAGGTTTTAGAACCTTCTTACAAACTTTTAGAAACTTTCAGTTAGGAGTTTGGGTGGTTTAAAGTTTAGCTGAGAATATTTATATTAATCTGTCTCTTTTAGAATCTATGTATGTGGTTCCTGGGTCTGCTAATAGGATTTGTTCCACATATATCACCCCCTTATGTCTGTATCAAAATACTATCTCCAGCAGAAAGAACTTTTTAAGAGCTTCATTAAAATACGAAATTCTTAAGAGAATGGAAGAGGATAGCTAATGAAGAATTATGAGCTATACCAAACACAAGAAAAGCAAAGGCACTAAATGTGACACTAAAAGGCAAGAAAGTGAAATTTCCTTATTCCTAGAGAATCATTATTATGTGAATATTACATTAGAATGAACTAATAACACAAAGTCCTATGATTAAAATATGGGGTTTTTTTGTAGATGGTTTACAAGGCACTGGAAGAAAAATTTGGAATGTGGATTGTCCTAGCAAACGGATGTATCAGTAGAGTATCTGGATGTATCCCAGAGTTTCAACAAAGACAGGCAGAGACACTTGTCAACCAGAAATGATTTTAGATTGAAGCAAGATTAAAAGGCCTAGATTAAAGAGAGGAATATATGAAATAGACTCAAAAATCGTTGCGTGTCTTTCACAAGACTCTTTTGTGGTTTGTTTAGTGCCAGTGCTAGCTCAGAAATATGGTCTCTGCTAGCCTACAGAGAAATTGGGATTAAATACACGCTTTGGGCAGTGGAAGAAGTCATGTTGTTTCCATTAAAGACTTAATGAGACCTAACATTATGTGAACAAAATGAATGGAGATTTGACAGCTTACTGCCTGTTGAATAAAAGAGTCTACAATTTTTTCTTCTTTTTGTTTTCTTTGTTTTAATCATGGTATAGCAACTGGAAACTTTTGTTTTTTGTTTTGTTTAATTTACTGTTGTAAAAAAAAAATTATGTGTTTTGAGAAAGTATGCTTTTTAGTATTTTATAAATTTAATGACAAATTTCTTGCATTATTTTTCTCCTGATGCTTTTGTTGCAACTTATTTAGGCTAGATAAAACTTTTACCTTCAAAAACCAAGTATCTTTCCATTTCAGCAGTTTTAGTTGTTAACCAGCACAGATAAATGCTTTTATTTTGATGAATCTCGTGCATTATTCATTGGTACTATAAAACTGAATGAAAACTGCAGAGAACACGAGTCTTGCTATTTTTACATATTTGAATTTGTAAACCAGGTCCATCATATTATGTATATGAAATTTATCTATTTTATTAACTGGAAGATTTTAATCAAGTATAACAAAGCTTAAAAAAAAAGCCATGATACTTGACTCTGTGAACTTAAAAACAGTTTTAAGAGCAAACAGTATTTTATAAGACACATAGCTCTTTGAGGAACACTCCAAAGCTGTACTGTGTAGCTGTCATTATATAGATGTCTGTGATTTTCAAAATATTTTAATAGTATTAATCCTTATTCAGTTTCTTCAATAAAGTGAACTAAAAAGGTGATAAAATAATTAAAATTAGTATCACTCATTATGATTTATAAAGTAACATAACACTGTATTTTCAGAAGTTATGACAGAATGTGAGGCGTTTTAATCCTTTCTTGTTTCACCGTAAATGTCAAAAAACTTGCATGCTCCTGCTGAGTCTCTTTTAATTTTTTAAATATCTGACAAATTGTCTTTTTTTTTTAATTTGTTCCCATCTTTTTTAGACCATTTCAGTAGAACAGGCTCACCTGTTTTTCTTTGGACATGCATACATCTATGTCGTTGTAATAATGTTGTCACTAAGTCAGGCCTTGATTCAGGAGTGTGTGGGTATGTAGGATAGCACTTTGGCAAAGTCTCTTCTAAATACAGACCTTGTTTAGGCAATTACTTTATCTTTAAAAAAAAAAAAAAAAAAAAAAAGCCTGACATGTTGATGTTAGGGTTTTACTAGGAGTTTTGAGAAGTTGTTCTTGCCTGCTGGTAACTTCGTGTTGTGGTTTGAACACTGAACCAGGGATTGAGAGCTCTCAAACTCTGGTATCCATATGTTGCCATTGTAGTATTTTTATGTGCCTCAGTGTTCCTGCAGTTAAAATGGGAATAATAGTCTAAAATGAATTTAGAGAGCATATTTTGTCAAAAATCTTGGCGTTCAGCTGGAGCTTGGGATTAATCTGACTTTTAATAAGAGTTTTTGCTGTTGTCTTCCACTGGGGTAGGTCATTGTCAACTGTTTGCAACTGCAGTTACACTTAAATGGTCTTCAATTCAGGCACAGATCTCATTAAATTTGAGGCAGAACAGGGACTACGTAATTGAAAGGGTCTTTTTTATGGCTGTTGTACTCCTACAGCTCATCTCTAGAAAGGGATCCCAGTCACATCTCTATGTAAAGCATCGTCCACCTCATTAATGCCCACACCTTGTGCTGAGGCCACAGGCTGCAGAGGGGTTTATGTGACGGAGGCAAGAGGACGTGCATGTTCTCCTCTCTTCCTCTGTGTTCTTTTATTCGTTCTTCCTGCAGCAGAGCTTGCTGTGAAAATCGGAAACCTCTGTATGTGTGTTCCCCTTCTTTAGGCCCTTCCCATGCCGGGGCTCCTAGCAGAGGAGTTGGAGAACAGCGAAAGTGGCTGGTGGCAGTGGTTTGCCTTTGCCTTTTCGAGATCCTTGAGCCTCCACTTTTATGGGCAAGATCTGTTCAGGTGATAGAGATAGAGAGCCTTTCTGGCTCTCCTTAAGTGAAATAAGCAGAAAAGAATCGCTGTCACAGAGAGGCTCTTGAAGAATTTGCTTTTTTGTTTGTTTTGTTTTCTTTTCTTCCCTGCTGCTTTAGGTTTCTGCCACAATACAACTGTGATCAACGTGCTACTGTGCCTTTTTGAAAGGGTGTTTTACTTACACAGTTGAGTAGGCACAAACATGAAAAAGTACAGTCTGACTTTTTATCTTCCCTATGTTTTAAATATAGTGCCATTCTTTCTCAGTGTGGAAGACAGAAATTATAACGGCGACTGTTTTGGTTCCATTGACTTAACTTTCTTATTTATTAATGCTGATTCCCCGTACAGATGCCCTTCTTCCCGCTTCATAACCACTTTTAGTAAAAATACAGCCTAATATTCTGAAAGTTAGTGTATTGTAAAGATTCATTTAAATTCACCAATTTTAAAAGTGAGGCCAAATGTGCCTTAATTTCAGTGCTTGGAATAATTTATGAAGTGCTGACAGGCTAAGAGCAAGTAAAGAGCAGGAGTTCACAGTAGAAACAAGTCATTCACCACCTACCTTCAACGTTATTGTTTTGTTATCATTTATAAAGCTGAGAGGGTGTTTGCATCTGCATAATAATTAGGATTTATAGTTTCCAAGTTGTTAAAATATCACAATGACATGAAAATATATTTTTCTAATGGCATTGCTGTTACTGAAAATAACTGGGCTTTTGAGATCTACTGAAAGAAATTTGAGTTGGAATGTATCGATGAAAACTCAAGGATAAAGTAAAATGGTGGTAAAATGAAAGATCCCTTAGTTACAAAAGTTTTCAGTATGGACTTGTTGACATCACTGCATTTTTTTTCAGAAATAAGTCTAAACCAATATGATGCACTCGTAGTTCTTGTTTTTTGCTTTTTTTTTTTCCAAAAGAACTAAGTTTAACCACATGAGTAATCATGTTTTACAAGGTCTGCTCTTTCTGTCTACAAAACATCATTCTTAAATGGAAAATGTTTTGGCACTGAAACCAACACTTAAATGCATGCCTTGAAAGATGTACGTTTTAAAGACATGGTGTAAGTAGAATGTAGCTTACACCATTTTCTCTAAGGTTGTTTACATGTGTATTTTGACAAGCGTAGATCTTTGGGACTGAGAGCATGAAGAACCCTGTAAACATTTCATACCTTATTGTTAGGGGACCAATTTCACTTCTGCTTAAATGCTTAAAGAAGCTATTGAAGTCAGTTACATCTCTCAAAATTTATTCCAGTTGGTAGCTGAGACCAGAATGTGCTCCCAAATATATTTTCCTCATTTTAAGTCATCTTAATAATCTCAGATTGTATTGTATAAATATTCAGAATATGAGAATTTTATATATATATATAACAAGTAGTGTCTTATAAGAGAAAGTGAATATAGCTGAATCATACCTGTACTCATTGTTTGCTTTGTATTGATTGATGGGTAGCATTGTCTTTTTGGATAATATTGTCCCATATTAAATACAATCATTTATTGATTGAAGTACAGAGCAGTAAGTAACAGGACTCTAATTAGTGCATACATTTACCTTTTCATTTCTGTAGGAGTACTGTGCTAGTCATATTATAATGTGTGAATATACTTGGAAGGTGAGAACTAGAACTGGCTAAAAATACTGTTTCTGTAACAGATGAGTATTTCAAAGTGAAATTAATCTGTACTGAATTTTTCAAGCTGCTAAAATACTTAAAATATTAATATCAATTTAAATATTCTAATATAGATTGTGAAGTGCCACTAGAAGCAAAGGAATATATTTGTAGTTGGGAACTTTCTGAAACAAATTTTTGACCAAGTAATTTGCAGTGGGAGTTGTAACAGTTGTAAATTGGGTGCTTTGTGGTGCTTCAATACCAGAGTTACTGATTAAATTATAATTGCTCTTTTGTGACGTTCTGGTTTCTCGTGTATGTACAAGAGCTTCAGGACCGATCTAAGTCCACTAACATCTGTCTGCAGCTTTCCATTGACTCTGGTCAATGTAATGGAGTTTCTTTTAAAAGGCCTTTTTGTAAATGAAACATGTGACCCCTGGCTTGCTGATTTATGGCAAGTAGCTTAGTCTCTCTGTGCCTCAGTGGGTCCGTCTGTAAAAGGAGCGCAGTAGTATCTCACAAGGTGTTAGAAGCTCTGTTACAATTTCTGTAAAGCCCTTTCAGAAACTTTTCTGCAAATGCAGTGTGAATGCAAACAATCAGTCTTTTCTGCCAGTTTCATAAGTGACCTAATTTGTGGTATGTTATATGAAGAGTATTTGCTTCTTTAGATGAGTTCAGGTTGAAGGCAATTCTGGATGTTTCAAGTTGCATGACAGTAATGACGACTGCGTTTTTAACCACATTTCATGTTTTCTCCGTGTCACTTACTGTAGCTAGTTATTCGAAAGAAATTTAAGTGTTTGAAATCACTGTCAATTTTGCCAGTTGTTTCAATGAGATCAGGATTGAGCTTTAGAGGACTGAGACATAGGTCTCTGGGCAGGCCAGTTGCAGAAGTTTCAGAGAAGCCCAGCTTGTACAACAATTTTTTGAGCATTACTTAAAAGCAAATAACATAATGTGACAATGTAATCACAGGATGATATATTGTGGAACAAGAAATTAATAGAAGAAAAAAGCAAAGGAGAGAGAGGTAGCAACTGGAGCAGTGAAACTGGGTAAAAGAGGAGATGAATTAGTCAGTTGAAAAAAACTGGAATGTGGAAAAGGAGGAATCCTGGGTGAACCTCTCAAACATCTTTTCTGCTAAGCAAAGAATGAATTCTTGGTTTAATGAATTGAAAAAATGGGCAATGCTCTGAAAATGATTTTGATTTTATATAACATAGAATGTTTCAGAGTTTTATTATCATTAGATTCCTGTATATAGTTTTGTTTTTAAGTGATTGGTTTCACCTATTACAAGTTATCTGAAGCCTTGCTTTTAAGAAGCAGAAGAAGAAAATTAAAATAACAAATGATATTTCCATTAAACATCATTATAAACCCCTGTATCTGCTACATGCACATTGTGGTGATTCAGAAGAGAATTTTTATTAATCTCATTTTTATAGAATAAAATTACTAATTTGTTTTAACATAACACATGCATCTGTGCATTGTTTCCATTTCCTTGTATCCTTCGCATGTTGTTTCCTTACCCTTTTGCCCATGTTGCATATATCTTAGTGGTTTCAGTGACATCAGCGCTGTGCCAGGTTATAACTGATCAGCAGTCCATGTTAGACGTATTCGTAGGTATCTTTTGAACATGCAAGAAAATGGCAACCAACTAAAGTAACTCACCCAGAATATAGATTTTCATTCTCAAAGGACTTCAGATGAATACAAATGTTTGTATTCACTTTGAAAGTTGTTTGCATTGAATGTAGACATTAAATATGGGTTCTTTCAAACAATCAGAAAAATTTTATGTTATTAGTCAGTGCTACTCTTACAGTTAATGTGTTCAGTGGTCCAGGGGAATTTGGGACCTATTATCAAGAAACTCAAAGTATCTATAAATCCTACTAAATCTTTTCGGAGCTGCAGGTACTCAAGGCTTCTGAATTAATATCTTAGAATGACTTTTAAGCAAGGGGCATCTTAATTTTTGAGAATTAACTATCATAATTTTATTTTATTCTTTCTTGAAGCAAAACCAAACCAGCTCCACAAATTTCACCCAGTAAGTCTGTGGGAGGAGAGTTTTGTGTTGCTGCAGTGTTTGGATCATCAAGATCCTGGTTTGCAAACAATCCTGGTCTGAAAAGAGAAAAAGGTTTGTATACTACAAAAATAGAATTTAGATTTAATTTTAAATCTATATTTTTTTCCCTTTATTTTCTGGTGATTTGTGAGCAGATGGTACATATCTGTTATTTTGTTCCTTAAATTCAGTGATAACGGAGTTTTGGGGAACATGCAGTTGGAATGTTTTTGTTAAAATGGGACAATTTACAATAAATTTAAATTAATTAAATGAGTCATTGATCTTTTATGTTACAATGACAGAAAAGAAATTTTCTGGTAGTTCAATGCAAAGATACTGTGTGAAATTTCCCAGGAAAAGCAGTGTTGTAAGGGTGAAACTCCTTTACTGCAGTGACTGTATAGACCTACCTTTAGCAATGTGTAACTACCCAAACACATTTTGAGAAACTCTATTCCACCTGCTTGTGCATGTGGTATTTATATTTTTGGAAACAAGGTAAAAATGAATTGTGATTGTACACTCTTCTCTTTGTCCAGCCCCTTTCCCTTGTTTTAATTCACATTTTTGATGACAAGCATATAAAGGCAAGAGACTTAAAAGAATAAGGAATCTACTGTTGCTATAAGTACTTTTTTTGTGATTCTGATGTACTGTTAATAAGTTTTTCTATTTGTTCTTGCAAATAGATCAATCAAAACAGTTTGTAGTGGAATCGTTGTATATTATCAGTTGTTATGGTAGCCTAGTGGAGCATGTATTGGAACCACGTCCGCTCAGCACTGCTCCGAAGATTAGTGATGACACACCCTTGGAAATGGTGACGTGCCCACGAGCCAGCTGGACTTTGGTTAGGTAGCTTAATCTATTACTTTTTCTTCTCTTTATTCTTATCCAGAAAACTATCGTGAACTTGTCTTGAAAGGGAAAGAATGAACTGCATCATGATTTTCAACTATATTTTCATGCTTTACAGAATCCTACAATTTTCCATTGAAAGAGAGGACTCTTTAAGATTAACTTTTCATGTAGTTCTGTTAGTGCTTAAATGTCTAAATGGGAGCTAACCATTTAGATACTTTTATAGACCTGGATCTACGTGAACATGTTTTAGATCAATAGAGAGCCTTATCAACTAATGATATTAAATGATCAGGTTGTAATTTAATTTTTTATATAAAGACTAGAAGCGATTATTTTAACAGTGTTAAAATAACAGAATTCTGCCATGAGACGTGCATGAGGTTTCCAAGATAAAGCATTGCATCAGGCAAGTTACCCTCTAAGTAGCTGAAGGTAGCATTTCTCAAGGTAGTTGCAGAAATTATTTTTGACGTGTGGAAGAAAGTAAACAAAAATTGATGAGAAACTGTTGTCAGTGCTTTTGACATTTTAAAATATTTTTCTATCGATTTTTCTTGGCTCCTGTATTCCTTAGTGGTGCTCATTGCTGGGCTAGATTGATCAATACTTGATTTACCAAGCTATTTAGGAATGGCCCACCCTAATTAAAATTACAACACAGACTTCTAGACCATTATTGTTGAAATGAGTAGGTTGTAATGGAATTGAAAATTCTAATTGGATCAATAATCCATAACTTTACACAGTTTTATTTTCACAGTTTGTAAATGCTCAATTGACTTTACAGTATCGAAGCAATGCTAGTTAACAGAACAAAAAGATCCCTGGGTTCTGTTGTGTGTTAATATTAAATAATGTTAGCATGACATACAAAGGTCCTAAACATATTTACCAAGTTAACCTAAACTGCCTTCATCATTTTTTGTGCCATATATACTGCAGTCAACAAAGGAGTATTGTCTTTTCTTCACAATCTGTGCAAAATGGTCATGCTGTTCAACTGGCTGTGGTATGTTTCAGTGTTTGAACAAGCTAATTTAAATAATTACAAACGTTTTGTGAGCTAGTATAGATAATTGCACGTGATGACAGAAACACTGATTTACATTCTCTGCATTAGCTTAAGTATTAATAGTCTTGTGTTTTACCTCAGAACTCCTCAGTGGAATGAGCTCCAACCACCATTTAATGCAAACCATCCACTGCTCCTGGCTGCAGATGCAGTACAGTACTACCAGTATCTTCTCGCTGGCTGTGAGTAGCTTAGAACTCCTTGTCTTGTCGTGTATGAATTTTAAGCTAAGAGTATGACTTTCTGAAACGGTTTTTCAACCTGCATTGCTGGAACAAGATAAGCAGCAGTTGTCCAGGAGAACTTCTGAAAATTTGTTATGAATGTACTAGCAAGGGCAGGGGCAGGGTTTTTGTGCGAGACGTCAATGAAATGAAATGAAAGGTTAGAGACAACTTACTACAAAAGATGCAATAGGTTCATTTTAGAAATGTAGCAGTGTACTGGCAGTAATGTAGTTAGGGATAGGTAAAACATTTCCGTAGCTTTCCATTATAAATTCCCACACTGATAAAAAGTGGACAGTTATAACTCAGCGATAAAATTTTGCTACAGGTTAAAATGTGTCCTAAAAAGCTGAGGTTCAGTGCAGAATTCTTTTAGTGAATACATATGGTTAAGTGAATGTGACAAAAGTCCAGAAAAGGATAATAGCTTTTTTCTTTTCCTTTGGATAACTTTATCGTATATGGAATTTTGGTGGTCATGTTTATGATACGGTTTGCTCACTTTGAATTTTATATCTTTTAAAATTCAAAACTTTTCTTGATGTTTCTTTGCAAACGAGCCAACTGCAAGTTGTTTTACATGTTAAAATATGTATGCATCATTACCTGAAGTAAATACATATGTCATGGTGTACATCATTATAACGATACCATGTACATACGGAACATTCTATAAGTAAGTATATTCAGAGAGTTTATAATGTATATTAACGTTCAGATTTTTTTAAGAAGGCACCAAAATACAGTGTATTGAAATTCAGTAAACTATAGTAGAAGGGACAGCATCTGGACAGTGTAGGGTACATCCTGAATGCTAACTTATGTTGAAGAAACGTAACATATAATATATATTATATTATACAATATAATATAGTATAGTGCAACTCATCCTTAATTGTGAATGCTTTAGTTTTATTTCTAGCCATGCAACAACCGTTATTTACTGGAGAAGGCTAAGGGTTAGGAAAGGGAAGTATTGCACTGAAAAAGTGGGGAAGCAGTAGGCGTATCTGCAATGGCAGTAGCTTAGAATTGAGAGCGTCTGTGCACCAGGAGTTTGTCAGGAACGTGCATTTATTTCAAGACAAATTCCCTCTTGGAATTCATGTAACCAATTATATTCATAACTGTAGAGTACCAGGTACCGTTTCTTTTTGGTCAGAATCAAAGCAGTAAGTCAGGCTATCATACACCCCAAAAAGTGAGCGTTCGGCAGGCCTTGCAAGTGTGATCCATTACATCCCCTAAAGTCTTTAGGGTTTCTTCACCTCATTCCTTCTCTTGCTTTTAGCCATTTCCTCTCATGAATTTGATACTTAGTGACAACTGAGTGCGTCTGCATTTTCCCACTCCCCTGGAAATCCTGATTGCTGGGCTAGTTTCAGCCAGAGTCTCAGGCAGCTGCTTCCCTCGGGAACCTTGGCATCATTTCCAGGGATGTCTGCCCACCTGCCTCGTCCTGTGTGTTATCCAGCCACATCGTTTCAGGGAGCCGATGTGTATTGCATTGTGTATGCATTCTATATACATACATACGTATCTACCTATATGTAAATTTATATACACATACATGTGTACACACACATACATATATTCATATTCTTTTTGTCTTGTTAGTTCAGAAAGGAGAAGGCTATTAATAGTACGTAGCAAGTCTTTTTTTTAATCTATGATATAGTAAAGATCAAAGTGATAAAAGTGATGTTAAAGTTTCACAAGGGAACAACTCTTGGCATATGTAAAGGTACTTACTCATGGGGAAACTGGACCCTGTGCTCAGTTGTCAGTTCAGCTAATGCCAGCATGTTATGTGACTGAGGCATTTTAAAAAGCAGAAAGTGGACATCTGGGCCAAAAGACAATATGTCTGAATGTGACTGGTAAAAGCAGCGTTGGTGCCAGCTTAGATCTATTGCTTCTACCTGTCCATCTGTTGCATCCTCTCAGAGCTGAAAATGTTGTGGAAGCCTGCAAGGTCAGACAACCTGTGTAATTCTTTGGCTGAGAAAATGCTCACAAGGCTAAAAATCCACTTACCATTTATTACCATTTATTGTTATTACTTTTAACTGTATCTGTAAATTTAGTATTTGTTCATATGTGTGATTGACATGTTTAGTCCTGATCATTCCAATATTAGCCACCTGTGAATTTCTTTTTCTGTAATTGTTCACATTTACAAGTAAGAGTAGAATTGTGATTATGGGGTTTTCATTTGTTTTATTTAAATATGAGGGTGGAATGACATTGTCCCTGAAAATACTTGGGAGATTATAATATGAACACAATGCCGTCATTGGGCATGGACGGAAATGGCTTGTCTTGACAAAAGGAGTGGGAGAGGAAGAGTGCTACCTCATGATTCACCAAGAAAATGAATATGGTACAGATTGATAAGTGCAATTTTCTATTTGAATGGGAATGTTGCTTCATAAGTAGATTTGTTCATTGCAACAACTTTAATATGTTGGATTTTTTACTTGCAAATATAGTACCATTTTAATTACAGATTGTGGATTATTAGTGTGCAGCAGGACAATGCAAGTTCTAAATTGAGTGTAAGCAGAATTCAAGTGCTGTCTGGATTCTACGCTTCCGTAATAAGGATAGATTTCACCCTAGTCAAGAAAAAATCTTAACTTAGGCTGAGGCTTTCTTTTGTAGTGTTGGAAATCTTTACATTCAATTCTTGCTGGAGAAGTCTATAGAGATTTTTTGCTAATTGCTGCAGCTTTTTTATAGTGAAAACTAAAACAAATACTTCTAGTATGTTGTCTGTTATTGTGGGTATTGTTGGATTTTCTAGTTGCAGTGATGAAAATAAACGTGTGGTAAATTAGTACTGCTTTCTCAAGAACAGGAAACCTTTTTGCTTTCTGAAGAAATAAACTGAAAACTTCATAATAAAAAAACTTCATAATAAAAAAACTAATAAAAACTAATGAACACAGAACATAAATATGAGGTCTTGCAAACAATGAGACTTGATTTAGTCTGCTTTGTGAACTCAGACAAAATCATTTTTAATAGATTTTACTTGAATAAAAAGTACAGGACAAAATAAATTCATTACTCAAGTTCTCAAAGAGTTTGGAAATGTCAGGCTTAAGAGATGATTGTTGTAGTGTAGGCTGCTAGACTTCACTGAAGACAATTTTCCTTACAGACTCTATTAACAAAGTGTTTTATTAGAAATGTAGCTTCTTTTAATAAAAAGACTGTTTTGAAGTATGCTGCATGGAAAAAGGAAGAAAAGTCACAGGGTAGAAAACAGGGAAAGTAGGTTGACACTGCACAAAATTGTGTTAGCTGTGTCTTTCAGCCAGAAATTTTTGCTACGTTCCTGCATTATTTTACTTTCATGTATGAGTTATGCTTTGAGATGAAAGGTTGTTGCAAGGATGCCTGTTGGTTGTGTAATGTTTATGATACAAATTTAAAGACAGATTACTGTCTGCAAATGAGTATGTCTAAAGTTAGGTGTCCAAGTCAATACTTAAACTTTCAAATAAATATTTTGGAGCATTGACTATCATCAGGTCAACACATAGAGAGCTGAGCTATAGGGAGTATATCTGCAGTTTTTATCAAAGCCTTTATTAGGTCCTACTAACCTATAGAGTATTGGTCTAATTTCATAATGTAGCTTAAGGTAACTGTTTCTCTAAGGTCTGCTCCTGTTGCTGATTGTTCATTTTTGTATTATATTGTATTTATATTATCTATTGCATATGCAACTGCTGCTGGTGATGGCATTAAGTCACTTAGAGTAATAAGATAAAAAAGGCACACTTAATTCACAGAAGCTGCAATGTTTCAAGAATTCAGGTTTAGCTAGACTTGTTTGCAAGGAAAAGCATCAGCTCTTTCCTACCACCACAGGAGATGGATTTAAGACCCTATTCCATCACTTTTCTGTAATATATATCCTGTTGCCCTGTTTAGTAGTGAAAATACCTGTGTAAGAGAAAGCATTCGGTAGGATAAAAGGATACTGTTCGTTGTTGTGCAGATCTGTCGTTCTTTAGGGCTGACAAGGCTATTGCTTTGCAAATTTATCTAACCAGACTGTCAAACATACAGTGTCTTCAGGGAGAACAACGATACTGAGTAGTCTTGAAATGCCGGCCAAAACTAACTTTAATTCACAAGCTCTGGCTGTGTTTGTGCATCCTTGCAGCTTGTTTGTTTGGGAGAAATTTCCTTCCCTTTCCCCCACCCCCAAAATTCTCTGCTCTAGCTGTAGATGTCTTTGTCATCCCTGTTGCTTTCATGCGTTTCCCCTGCAGCCTGTCAGGCATATAAATACATAAATTCTTGCATGTTATATGCAGTTACTTTAGCACAGAATGCTGTCTGGAGAATTTTTGAAATTTTGTGAAAAATAGTTTGAATGCTTTTTAGTTTCTGTTGAAATGCAAAGTAACGTGTTGCATAGATATAGTCAGAACAAAAACCTTTCTGAGAGCATTAATGTTTATATACATGGAACACACTCATGTCGCTAATTGGGATGGATGTGATTCACTTTGTGTATTTCATTAACAGCCCAAAGACTATGTATTTCAAATGTTTTTTGTACTGAAACTTTTTGAAGAAGGAAAAATTAATTGGTGGCCAAATTCTGGCGAATAATGAATTTGTGTTGTTTGAATTACACATTGAATTAAACATGAATTAAAAATTTTCTATTGGGTTTTAATTCGCTTAAGCGTGAAAAAAAACTGAAAGAAAAAGAAAAACTGAATAATGAACACTGAAGACAATATCTAGACAGCAGACAGTAAAAGTAGCATTAACAGTGAAATTGCTATATATCTAATGTTCTTTTAAGTTGTATTTGGTTTCTGGAATTATTACATCCAAAAATATCCCATGAAGTTTTTGGAAAAAATGGAGTCAATTAGCCAAAACGGGATTCACACAAAAAGTCCAGAACACCTGTTAACTCCATG